GCTCCCTGCTCTGTTCTAGTTCCCAGCTGTGACCTCACCTCCATTGCTGCACGTGTGATGATGGAAAGGGCCCATTTGTTTAAACACCTGTCTCTCTCACCAGCTGTAAGCTCCACCAGGAAAGGAGCAGGGCTTATTTGTCTGTGGCTAGCATCTCTCATGACAACAGTGTGTGCCTCTCAACAATTCACTGTTGGTTAGAGGTTGTAGCCATGGCAAAGATCAGGGTTCCCAAATTCTGGCCTGGATGCCTCAGAAGCACCTGGGCACCTGCAGCAAGTTCAGATGCAGCCGGGCACGGTGGCTCATGCCTGGAGTCCCAGCACTTTGGGAGGCCAAGGCAGGCAGATCACTTTAGCCCAGGAGTTCCAAGACCAGCCAGGGGTGGTGGCGCACCCAGGAGAGCCCAGGAGGTCAAGGCTGAAGTAAGGGAAGATCGTGCCACTGCACTGCAGCCTAAGTGACAGAGTGAGGCCCTGTCTCGAAAAAACAAAATTAAGAAAGAAAAAGAACAAGTTCAGGGCCCACCCTAAGCTTCCTGAATGAGGAAATGAGGAAAATTATGTGATTCTGCTTTTTTTTTTTTTTTTTTGACTCTTTGAATGTGGCTCAAATGTTTGTCAGGGCGCCACTGCAAGTTATAATCTCAAAAGGCCTATAAAGGTGTCTTTAAAAACTGGTCTCCCAGCGGGGCACAGCAGCTCATGCCTGTAATCTTAGCACTCTGGGAGGCCAAGGTGGGCACATGGCTTGAGCTCAGGAGTTTGAGACCAGCCTGGGCAACACGATGAACCCTGTCTCTCCAAAAAAAAAAAAAAAAAAAAAAACAATTAGCCAGACGCAGTGCCTCACACCTGTAGTCCCAGCTACTTAGGGGTTAAGACAGGAGAATCACTTGAGCTTGGGTGGCAGAGGTTGCAGTGAGCTGAGATTGTGCCACTGCACTCCAGCCTCAGTGACAAATTGAGTTCCTGTCTTAAAATAATAATAATAATAAATTTTTAAACTCTCTCTTCAGCCCTGGTCCCCTTTCCTAGGCAGTGCATGTGACAAGGTGGCTGCTGTGGCCGGCCTCTCTCACACAAACAGTCCATCCTCCCAGACCTCTGGGATGGCTAGTGGATTTCATATGCTTTCAACCCAGGATGCCAAGAAATCCTGGTACTCAGGCAGCCAAGGAGAAACCCTAATCCATGAGGTATTGGCATCCTGTGTGAAGGAAGAGGGCATGGGGCAGGCACAAATGGAGTTCTGGGGACAGGGAAGACTCTGGTAGTAGAAAGAGTACCAGACTAGGAATGAGGAATCCTGCATTCTAGCCCTGGAGCATTGTGTTACCCTCAGTAAATCACACCCACGAGCCTTTTTTCTGTAAAATGGGACAAATGATATTAGACTGAACCGCATGAAACTGAATGATCAAATGTTGGCAATTTCATGTTGTTCTAATACCACATAAGCCTGGCAGCTGACAGCTCAAATAGAGTTGCTCCATGAGAGCTCTGATCTCCAAGGCCAGCCGGGCAGCCTCTGCTCAGTCTGTGGCCTAGCCACAGCAAGCAAGCCCTGCCCATCTGCCCCAACTCCCACGCAGGCAGTCTGAGGACAGCTGTCACCATGGTCACCAGCAAACCCACTCAATATCTTGGACGCATTCACACAAAAGGGATTTAGAGGCTTGCCCCTCACCTGGCCCCATCAGGCCAGGGAAGGCAGGACAACGGCAGGTATCCCACTGCCAGGAATGGGAAAGTGAGGCTCAGAGAAGCAGAGGAATATGGCCTTGGCAGGGCAGGAGTAGAACCTGCATTCTGCCTCCCTTAGGAGGGCTGGATTAGCCTGCTAGGCCTTGGGTGAGGAAATGGCCCGTCAATGCTGGCTCTGACTCAAGAGACAGCTGCCTTGCGCCAACGCACCAGCAAACAGCAGCCCGTGTCCTCCCCCAGGAGAGCCTGCGTTAAAAGCCTAAGACACAGGTTTTCTGCTTCAAAGTCATCTGGTGACCTTGGGTGAGTCCCTGTGTGGCTCCTCAGCCTTCTCATCTGGAAAATGGGTGCTGTTTCAAGTCTGCCATTCACAGGGTTGAGACAAGGTATAAAAAAAGATGAGGGCCAGGCAGTCGTGAATCTATATTTGGGCCATCTGGCACTGATGGGAGACACAGACACTGTCAGGGGAAGGAGACAAGGAGACATGCACTGCTGATCCCACTGATTCTCCAAGGCACCTCCTCTATTAGCCCTCGCTGCCACCTCGGTGTTCCCAGCCCCACCCAGGATCAGTCCCCCTGACTTCTTGCCTGGACTAGTACCTCTCCTAACCCATCTCCCAGTTCCCTCCCTCAATCCATCCTCCAACAGAGGCATGTGCCTTGGAGGAGAACAGAGTCCAGGCTTTGAGTCTAGCCCAGCCACCATGGAGGTGAGTGTTCTTTCACCTCTGTGATTCTTGGAACACCCAAATAGAAGGTGACTACCTGCCCACCCCTTATCCTTTCCCAGCCAACAATGCTACTCCTCCCAAGCCCTTGGCTCATACCCCTAGCCCGACTGGCATGACAGCCTGAGCATCCCAGTAACACCCAGCACACTCCAAGGCACATAGTGAGCATTCAAGAAAGCCCGATCCCTTAAAAAGGCCCAGATTCCTTCACCTGTTCCTCTTGGATGACTCTCAGCATTTCTGCTGAGTGTTGACTGATCTCTGTTCCTGCAGAGTGGAACCTGACTTATCTCCATCACCCCAAAGCACCCAGAGAGAGAGAGAGAGAGAGAGAGAGAGAGAGAGAGAGAGTGTGTGTGTGTGTGTGTGTGTACACGAGTCCAAAGCTCAACCCACTGCCACGCCCTGGGCCCCCACTCAGGCTTCATCATCCCTCCTTGGTCTCTTCAACCCACCCTGCAGCATCGTCAGATGGAGCTGATTTGATGGCAAGCACTATTCTGCCCAGGCCCTGCTCAGGACTCTCAACACTCCGCTGCCCCTTGGACCCAGAATAAGGTCCAAACTCCCGAGTCTGACATGCAGACCCTTTCTGTGATCTCAGCTGATAGGGGGCAGGGATAGAGATGAACCCGAGCGACACTGTTCTGTGGAGACTCTTACAGACATCGGGGCAGAGGGCTTTTTCCTGATCGCTACTTGACACAATGTCCTCTCTACTGAAAAACGGCTTCTCCCTCTTCTCTCCTGAAAAAATTCTGACTCATCCTTCAATGCCCAGCTCACATGCTGTCTCCTCTGGGAAGCCTTTCCTTTTCCCTCCACAATTTGAGTGTCTAAAATTCTGGGCTCCCATGCCCTTTTATCTATTCTCATCTGTCTGCAGTGTAACTGGAGTCCATGTCTCTCTCCCCCACCAGGCTGGGACCTCCCTTGGCAGAGGCCCAACTGCTGTCTCTGAGCCTAGTGCCCAGTACAGAACCAAGGACTGAGGTGTCTGTGAAGGTGCGTCAAGCGACTCATGAGAGACATGTGACAGCAAGATGAGAGAAAACCAAAGATGTGGCCAGAGAAGTACCTTCCAGAGACTGGCCTAACCTTTGCTCTAGTCACTGCCCCCTCCTTTGCCCAGGCCTGGTCTTGCATATCAAAAACACTGAAAATCTTAAACAGCAGCCAAGAAAGCCCCTACAGAGGTCTCTGGACTGGACTGAGGCGTTAGTCCTTCTAAAAATCGTTCAAACAATCAAAGCAAATGAAAAAACACAAAACAAACAAACAAAAAAAACCCAAAAAAACTGTTCCTGGTTAGCCTTCAGGTCAAAAGCTCACAGAATGTCCTAGGACCTGGGGAGAAGGCTTCACGGTGTTACTCAACCTCTCCCTGCCCCACAGCAGACCAGCGCCTCCCAGCCCCTGCTCAGCACTTAAGAGCTGGGGAGGCATTTCCTCCCCTCTCTGACCCTCACAGCCAGCCTCTCTCCTTTGACTCCCCTGGGTGCCAGAGCTACCTGGGGTGCCAGGCTGCCCCTCCCAACACTAGGTGGGGCCCTCCATCTCTGGCCCCCAGGCGTCTGAATGGCGGCATCTCTCCAGGCATTTTTAAACTGAGCTTCTACCCAAGGCAACCCTGGGAAGAAGTCCTTCACCCTACTCTGGGAGCCCCATGTCTGGGCCACCAAACTGTCTCCTGGAAAGAAAAAGATAAAAGGGTTTCATAGGTAAAAAGCAACTGCTCTTCCTTAAAGGGGTATGAGGAGAGAGAAGTGAAGAAGGCAGGAGCAGCCATTCCCTCCTCAAGAACCCATCACACACACCTATCCCTACGGGGCCACCCCTCACAAACCTGTAAGGGCCGACTCCACCCCAGGCTTTCTGGAACGAAGGGCACCAAACTGACACATCAGGGTCTCCAGTTTGCAAGGGCTGTAAGGGGGTATCCCAGGGATATCCAAGGGCTGTAAGGGAGGGTATCCCAGGGCCCAGGATGCTGAGAACAGGAAAAGCCCATTCCAAGCAATGGTGGCCTAGGGCCTCCCAGTTTGTGCCGCAGCTCGGCCACCTCCCTCCCTCCAGTGCGCCCGCGCCCAGCCCACGCTTGAGCTGGAGGGCCCCATGAAAGGCCAGCGAGCGAATGCACTGGGTACTGGGTGAGAATGTCCTCTTACCTGAAGGGGGAGGGAGCAGGATCACTTCGACATACACTTGATGAAAGAGAAGGTTAATGCCCAGAGAGGAGTAGCTACTCGCCCAAGGTCACACAGCGAGGTCCAGGATGCACCCACATCTCCCGACTCCCAGCCCTGGGCTCGCAAGTCCAGGGTTCTCGAATCGCCAGGGTGTAGACACCGTACCCCAAAGCCAGACACACGCCCCCAACCCCCTTACCTCCCAGACCCCAGTGGGCCCTGCCTCCGAGCCGGCTGCTGGGCGGGGCGCTCAGGCCGGGCTGGACGAGGCTGAGCCCGGCTAGGTCAGGGCGGGTGCTCTGCTCCCCTCCAAGGTGGAGACGCCCTCCGCCGGGTCCCAGATGGAAGAGATGCTGCTTCCACTGCAAAATGCAGTCTTCCTACCCCGCCTGGTACAAGCCTGTATGTATCCAGGGAGCCCGACTCTGCAACGCGGCCCCGGGGATGCGGGACGAAGCGGGGGGAGGGGAGAGGTGCGGGAAAAGGGGTGGAGCCGGAGCGGGGGCCACCCCGCGAGCTGCCGCTCGGACCGCGTCCCCTTTAAGGCCAGCCGGCCGGACACCGGCGAGGACGGGGCGGGACGCCAAGCGACTCGCCGCAATGCCTCCTGGGAGATGGAGTTCGCTCTCAGCGCACCGAGCCGCGAGGAGCCCAGAGAGAACTACCAGTCCCGGAGGGCAGCGCGCGGACCCCGGACCGCCACGCCCCTGGGCTGGGCTCCGACCCTCCGCCCCTCTCGCAAAGCTGCGCTGGCCGCCCGAGGAGGGGAGGCTGCAGAGCGAGGGCAGGAGGTGGGTGCGGTGCGAACGGGGGCGGACGGGGGCGCGGGGACTGCCAGCGAGGGGACGTGGGCCCATTGAGCAGCCGTCTTACCATAAGACTAATCTATCCCAGCCTCGCCATTCTCATCTGTGAAATGGGGATGGCAGCGCCTGTGGCTGCGGAGGGGGGAGGTGCGTTTTGGAGCTAGGTGAGCCAGAGAGGGCAGAGCTGAGAGAGGCGGGGCTGGTGGGAGGAGCCAGGGCGCATGGTGGTGGTTGGAAAAGCCCGGATAATAAGGGTCGGGACTATGGGTGGGGCAAGGAGGGGCGGGGTCTCTAGGTGGGGGTGGGGCACTTGTCTGGGCGGAGAGGGTGCTGTAGGGCTGGGGAGTGGGTGCGGAAAAAGCCGATGAGGCCAGCCAGGGTGGGATTGGGGAAGAAGGGGTGGAGACAGATGACAGGGACCTCGCCCCCTCTGGAGAGCCCCGGGCCGGCAGCGCTGTGGCGGCGTGGGCAGGAGCCTGTGATGCACAAAACACCTTCCTTAACTGTGACTGGAAATAAAGGGCCCAGCCCCAAGCCCCTTGCGGCACACCATGATCTCATTCACCTCTCACGCCCTGGAAAGTAGAGGCGTCACCATAGCCGTTGACAGGTGAGGAATGTGAGGCTCAGAAAAGCGAAGAGACTTGCCCCAAACCACTCAGGACTCCGTGCTTCAAAGACCTTGCTTTTTTCCCTGCACTCAGGGAGACAGAGGTTTAGCTTGGAGTTGGGGGCAGGAAAGAAACAAAAGTTTTGATGCCTTGACCTTCGCAAATTGTCTGGCAGGACCAGTCAGTCCCCCCAACCCTTCCGAATGCCGGTGCTACTGTGAGGATGAAATGAGGGATTTGAAAGTACCGTGTTTATAAATTACTGTTAGGAGGAGCAGGAAGACGGTAAGAAGAGAGCTGTTTAAATGGGGTGCTTGTGCCTGAGGAAAAGCACAAGGTGAAGCGTGAGAATGAGCTGAGAAGGTAAAGGAAGATTCTGGAAGAGTTTGGGGATGGTGGTGATTGCTACAGGTCTACGCCAGCTGAAAGAATACCTTGCCGTGCCAGATCCCACGGCATCCTTCTTCCAGCCCACCACTCCCCTCCTTCCCTCTCCTGCCTTTTGCGCAGTTCATTCTGGGGTCCCTGTGTGTCAGGTGGGTCTAGGAAGCACTTTTTCTCTCCTTCCTGTGGGTTGTGATGGTAATGGAGCAGCCTATGGGCTTCTTAGAGAGACGGACTGGGCAAGACAGAATTATAGATAGAGCTCTTTGATGTGGGGTGGTTAAGAAAGGAAGGTGAAGGGTAGTAGTCCTGAGGGCTTCAAGGCAAAGAGTCCTTTCCCCGGTGGACTGAGTAAGGTGGGGGAGTCTCCCGCTTACTGGAAGACACACTACTCACTCTGAGCTTTGTCTTTCATGAAATTTACCCAGCCACGAGCTGTCTATTCTCTTAAGCAGTGGAAACTCTCCTTGCATTTACTTGCAAGTAATCACCTGGGCCTTGTCACATGCCTTTAGATTCCAGATTGAAAATTCAAGAGAGCATGTCAAAATTAGAAAGTTTTAAAAATCCAGCTGGGGAAAATGGATCTGACTAAACAGGAAAGAAATTTCTTCCTCTTCCCCTATTCTCCCTGCTTCTGTGGATGTAGAAAGGGGCACTCCTAGCCCCAGCAGGGGAGCCAGGCACCCATCTACTTAAGTAAAGTTGGCTGTGGTAAGGGGTTAGAATAAAATTCTCCAGAGATGCAGAGGAGAAGGAATGAATTCCAGCTGAGGGGCCTGGCTGATGCATGGGACTTGCCTTCAAGGTCCAGGCAGAGGGGATGGCAGATGCCAAATTGCAGAGGTTGAAGAGGACCCAGGATGGTTGGTCTGTAAAGTAGGGATATAATAGTATCTACTTCGTCTGTGAAATTGAAACAGATTAACATTCATAAAGTGCCTAGCACAGTAGCAACTGCTCAATAATGTTAGCCATTATTATTACTATTGTAGTGTTATTGTTGTGATCATCATCATCTGCCCAGGAATGTGCCTCGGGCTGTACAGCTAGTAAGTGGCAGCGGATGATTCAAATACTAGCCCAGGTAATGCCGAACACCTTGCATGGTCTGCCCCCTAACCCGCACAGCTTCTCCAGTTCTTTTTTATTTTTTTTTCTTTCGAGACAGGGTCTTGCTCTGTTGCCCAGGCTGGAGTGCAGTGGCGTGATCTTGGCTCACTGCAGCCTGACCTCCCAAGCCCAAGCGATTCTCCTACCTCAGCCTGATGAGCAGCTGGGACTATAGGCACATGTTACCATGCCCAGCTTTTTTTTTTTTTTTTTTTTTTTTCATTCTCTGTAGAAACGAGGTCTCATTATGTTGTCCGGGGTGGTCTCAAACTCCTGAACTCAAGCGATCCTCCTGCCTGGGACTTCCAAGTGCTGGGATTACAAGTGTGAGCCACGGCACCTGGCCTCTCTCTCCAGTTTTTTCTGCCCATCCTTGACATTTCTGAGGCCCAGGAGTGGCCTCTGTCAACATTCACAGCGAGCCATGACAGGAGTTTCTTTCCTGCCGGGGTACAGAGATTCTGGGTTCATGAGGAGGTAGGAAAAAATGAGGCCTGAACAGCCACCTTCTCCCAGGCAGGATCACAGCACAGAAGGTAGGCAGGCCTAGTGGTGTGGTTTCTGTGGGTGGGGGGGGTCTATCCAGACTGCCCACCAGGCTTAGATTCTAACTCCTCAACCACATCTGGGCCTTTTTAGCTTGGCCCTGGTTGTAGAAACAACCAGGGTGACATCCTCACCCTTCAAAATTCAGCAACACTTGGCAAGGAAAATTATGAGCTTTTCACGCTTCTTAGTGGTAAATCTGTAACTTAATAAGTCTGGTTATTTATTGGGGTATGGCACTGTGAATGTAATTTTACATCTATTGCCCCTATGAAGGAAGTATTCTTCCCCCTTCTTTTAAAATACAATATTTTTAAAATTTTCAAGCTTACATAAAAGCTTAAAGTACAACCCTTAACCTAGATATAGCAATTCACAATTTGCCAATTGTGCTTTTACACAAACACACACTTCTTTTGGCCAAATTAAGTTATAAACATGTTGATGTTTGATCCCTAAATTCCTCAGCATGTATCTCCTAATAAGGACATTCTACTTCATGACCATAATACCATTATTATACCTGATAAGAAGTCAGTATCACCCAATGTAATAGTTATTAAAAATTTTCTGCTGGGTGCAGTGGGTTGCACCTATAACCCCAGCAATTTGGGAGGCCAAGGCGGATAGATTGCTTGAACACAGGAGTTCAAAGCCAGTCTGGGCAACATGGTGAAACCCCATCTCTGCAAAAACCACAGAAATTAGCAGGGTGTGGTGGCGTGCACCTGTAGTCCAGCTACTTGGCAAGATCACCTGAGCCTGGGGATGTCAAGGCTGCAGTGAACCGTGATCACACCACTGCACCCCAGCCTGGGTGACAGAGTGAGACCCTGTCTCAAAAAAGAAAAAAAAAAATTCTAATTGCCCCAAAATACCTTATATAGTTTCTGGTTTTTAAAATCAGAGCCAGTCAAGGTGTACATCATGCATTTTATTGTATCGCTTCAATCAACTCTTTTAAATAAAGCCCCTTGGCCGGGCATGGTGGCTCATGCCTATAATCCCAGCATTTTGGGAGGCTGAGGTGGTGGATCACTTAAGGTCAGGAGTTCAAGACCACCCTGGCCAACATAGTGAAACCCACCTCTACTAAAAATACAAAAATTTAGCCGGGTGAGGTGGCATGTGCGTATACTCCCAGATACTCAGGAGGCTGAGGCAGAATTGCTTGAATCCAGGAGGTGGAGGTTGCAGTGAGCCAAAATTGTGCCATGGCACTCCAGCCTGGGCAATAGAGTGTGACTCCATCTTATAGAGTTTCTCCACTTGTTTAAATGTGTTTGATTGGTTTATCAATGATTAGATTTGGGTTAGATTTCAGTTTTTGGCAATATGTGTACTTACTGCATCATGTCAGGAGGATATGATGTCAGGGTCTTACAATCCATGAATGCTAAATTTGATTATTGGCTAAGGTCATGGCAACCTGATCTCTGTATTGTAAATTTTTCCTTCTTACAACTAATAAGTAATCTGTAAAGTGATTCTGTGAGTCTGTTATAATTATGTATTCCTGATAACCTTCCACACCACATCCATTGATGATCCCTGCCTGAATTGCAACACTGAGGGTTGCAAATTGGTAATTTTCTAATTCTGCCATTCCTTCTATATTTGTTAACTAGTATTCTCTTTTATAGAATAAATTTTTCCTGTCTCTATCTTTCTCACTCCATTCTTTTCCCCTTCTTTTTTTCTTTTGGGAATAGCATTATGGATTCTTGGGGGTTTTTTGTTTTGTTTTCTTTTGTTTTGTTTTTTTGAGATGGAGTCTCATTCTGTTGCCCAGGCTGGAGTGCAGTGGTGCAGTCTTGGCTCACTGCAACCTCCACCTTCTGGGTTCAAGCAAGTCTCCTGCCTCAGCCTCCGGAGTAGCTGGGATAACAGGTGCATGCCACCATGCCCAGCTATTTTTTGTATTTTTAGTAGAAATGGGGTTTGGCCAGGTTGGTCACAAACTCCTGACCTCAGGTGATCCACCCGCCTTAGCCTCCCAAAGTGCTGGGATTACAGGTGTGAGCCACTGTGCCCAGCCTGGACACTTGGTTTTTTTGTTGCTTTTTTTTTTTTTTTTTTAATTTATTGTGCTATATGGAGTCACTATGAACTTTTCCTGTAAAAGTCCTGGAATCATCAGTTTCTCCAGAAAGCCCTGATTTTGTTTTGTTTTGGAGGAAATGATGACATTCAGAAACAAAGATCCAGGGGTAAGTGTGTTTATTGCTACTGGGGGTCATTTCTAGGCTCTATGAGTGAGCACAGCTAGGAAATGATGGATGAGTGATTGACATATAGATGATAGATGGATAATGTTCATTACTCAGTATG